TTAGATAGTATATATAGAGACAAGAGTGAAGCCCTCATCATTCTTGCCATTTTTTTTCTTGCTTCTAGTCTAGTTTCAAGAGTCTCAAGTTTTCTTGTCTTTTGGCAATAAGCCATTTTAATTTCTTTTTAATATACAAACTTCTTTATTTCTATTTTGTCATTTTTTTTTAACATGGATTTCATTGGTTTATGCATCATCTTCTAGTTCGTGTCTTTGATAGGCGTTGATGCCCGATTTTGAGTCTTGGGATTTAATTTCAACCTAGGTTGATAACTAATCTCCTCCAAATATCAAATTTTACTCTTTTGAGTTAATTTTTTTTCAAACCAACTTCTAACTTCTTCCTATATATACTCATATCTTTAATTTTTCTAATCTACCTTGTTTTTTTTTTTTTTTATGGCGTTTAAAGTAAGTAAAAGCATACTTTGGAAAAAGATGGCATTTACACCTTTAGTTTTTTTTTTTTTTGTCTATTTTCTAAGATAATATGCTACAATATTTGAAGTAAGATCTTCTATAATATAATAATTTCTTCACCTTTTTCACATATTAGTTGTGTTATATTATGACACCAAATCGATAACCGGGGTCAAAATTTAACCAAGTACGTCTATCTTGTAGAATCTAGCTGTTAACACTATAGAGCAAACGGGTTGCGGCTGTTGTCTTCAGAATACAACCCACAACTGGAACATACCCACGGCAGACCACGCCAACAACGTGAAGTAACTGGGGCCGTATACGAAGCTCCAGTAAGGGGAGTTTGAAATCAACACCGAGGTAGCATCGACTCCGTTTTGTACCTGGACATCGAGATTCAGTTTCCAACGCAGAAACTTGCTTCTCAAAGTAGCTGTGGAAATCGGGTCTCGGGTGTGGAATCAGGTAGATACCTGCAGCAGCCCTGTATGAGTGCAAAGAAGTCTCACATCTGGGTCATGGTTTTGTATGCCCCCGCTGCTTGCTTGCAACTGGTAGTAACTAGAACGAAAGATATAAATTTTTGTGGCACCAGTATTTCCGATATGAATGGATCTCGGCGTATTTCGACGACGACACTGGCTTTATCAAATCTGCCATACAAGTGAAGAACACCAGTGCTGTTTTCGACGCCGACAGTAACGATGGTGTGCTCAACATAGCCGGAGGAAGCCATACCGGGAAGGATACCGTCCTGTCATCCTTCACCCGCGGGCCTCTATGAGGACCTGCAAAATGTCCCTTCTCATAAGACCGTCAAACCAGTGACAGAGCCTTCTCATAATGGCTTAAGCTGTCACCTCCACCTGCATCAGCCCACCAGAGAGGACGATGGCGTATTTATACCGCCACTATACCTTTTATATGTGTGTGTGTATGTATGTACATGTTCTGTACAGTATAGGGTATTAAAGAAAGGCGGAGAATAAGCATACGATCACACCCACCAGTGCTAATAACCCATTTATGCTGGCAGCTTTGGTACAGAGTGTGTCGTTGCCCACGTATTCAATTGGGAACTCTGTACCCGCGCTGTAGTTACTGCTACAGTGACAACTTCATGGATTCGGTTGGATAAAACGGAGTAATACGCCATGGAATCGAGGTGCCTGCTCAATAAAATTCACATCTTTATCTATTTCCCTGCTTCCCCAATTTATAAACCCATCAGAAACCCATGAAAAGAAAACCTTGAAATCAACAAAACCCAAAAAAATCAAGGCTTCGGGCATGGTGGGTTCTGATGGGTCCTGGAAGTAATTCAGCAGCTGGCTGTCCGAAGTGCGGAGATTCATGTGTTGAAGAGGGTACATGAGGTCTGTCTCTCCCCCTCTGATAGGCTTTCTTTCAGTTGTGGAGTTCATCCTGTATTAGGGCTTGGGACAAGTCGACAAGTATCAAATCAGGTCCATTTGAAGCACATAGTATAGTATGTCCCTTGTCCCCGAAAACCTCTTGTCCCAGACTAATTTGTATTTAGACTGTCCACTTTATGTACGTCCACGTCACCCATTGGACCCAGTGGGGGTCCATCACTCGAAGCCAGGCGCTGGCCAACGGGATTTTGTTTCGTTGACTACTTTCATCTAATATCCTCTTTCATCCATGGAACCGTCATGTACCCGCGGTTGATTTGTACCCAAGCCTTTGCTGCGGCATTATGGCCTGCCAGAAATTTGGATGTGGGCTTAACCCCGTAATTTCATTCATCCATAAGAATGGATATCAGGCTATTCCACTTGGAACCGTCCACGTTCTCTCTCTCTAATTTGTTGTGTGAATTAAGCTGACGTCGAGGAATGGATGCATTATTTGTTTTCAAATGGATACATACGTAAAGGAATAAGTGAACCAGGCAAGACTAGATTTTTATATATATATATATATATATTTGGTTTCAAATTAATATCTAATAATATTCTGAGAATGGGAATTGTAATAGATATAATTTAAAAATTCATTTAAGCAAATATACTATGATTTTTCTTAATGTACTTAAATTTTATAAATCTGGTTTTACATTTTTTATATTTTATAATTATGATTTCTCCTTTTCTTTTTTTCTAAAACATTTTATGTTAGATTTAGAATCAAAGTGTTACAAATGTATGCGTGTATATATATATATATATATATATATATACATATAAAGGAAAATGATAAAGCCATCCAAATTTTTACTAAATCAACCCACATACCCCATTCCGAGCTGTTTTTTTGTTCCCAACCATCACCACTATTCTTGATAATCCCACCTCTCTGCCCCCATTCCTAGCAACAATTGGGAAGGGAAAATGGCCAAGAACATGGATAGGGGCTTTTAAGAGTGCAATGATGCTTAAGATATAGTGGATTGCTTTAATAAAAATTTCGATTGCTTTATCATTCCCATATATATATTATCCTTTTTCTTCTTTTTTTTAACATTTTTTTCTCATGCAAGTTTATCTATTTATTATTTTGAGAAATTTATGAGATACTAATATTGATTGTTATGGTCATTTTTGTTACTATTAATTTTTTACTTAATTTTTAATTTTTAATTCTCTATTATAATCCACATAAGCACTTCCATGCTTTTTTATTATTAATAAATTTTAAAATAAATAAAATTAAATACTCTAAAATTATTTTTTTAATTTTGTCCTTTGAACACCATTTACAATCACTTACATTGAGATAAATTTCTCTTCTTTCCAAAAATATTGAGCCACAATACACAAACTTTTTTGAACTATAATAACAATATATTGTATAATATATTTGTAAATTAAAAACACAGATATAAATTCTAAAATATTTATCTTCTTTGTATTGATTAATTTTCCTATTTACAGTCCATCAACTACAAAATCATTTTAAATTATAAAACTTTATATTGAAAAAATTAAACATTTTGAAAACATATATACTAAAAAAATTTATGGTTTTAATTTCTATTTATTAAAACAAAACGAAACAAAAAACACATGTACACAATTCTAATATATATATATATATATATATATATTTAATAAACCATAAAAATGGGAATAGATTTGTAAAAAGAAAAAAAAGAAAAAATTCTATAAATCTATTTCTCTTACAAAGAAGTTATATTTGTAAGTATTTTAAATGTGCCATTTGACTCCAATAATTTATAATAGAAGTTTATTTTATTCATAAAGCCACCATAGAAGCAATTCATGAATTAATCATTTGGCTTATATTCTTCATAATTTTTGGAAAGTTTTCTTTCTTAGATTATTATTATGTTATTTTCATTATTCAATTAATTAACACAAAAGATGGCAAGTCTATAGCTATCCTAATTCTTTTTGACCCTTTTATTGTACTGAAGTCTAGCTTCAATACTCATTTAATTCTTTGTACTTGGCAAAAATCATTCTAATACCTTTTTATAAGAAAATGTGCTTCTTGATCTTCTATCTTTTGACCTTCATAATCGTACATCAATATTATTATTTTTCAAAAATCTATATTCTTGATGAGTATTTTCACAAAAAATGTAAAAAAAGAAAACAGAAAATCCCCACTTATCTACATTACAATGTCTCATTCCGCCATTACCAAATACAACAAACAAAGTAAAAAATAAAAAGAAAAGAAAAGAAAAGTAGAAGCTAACAATTAAATTCTCCCTGTAATGGAAAGAAACAAAATTATTCAAGAGAATCAACTGAGCTTGCATGTCTTGGGTTTCATGCAACCCACAAATGACGTTCCACGTAAGAATCCAAAACTGTGGGTTTTCAGTTTTAGGGCTTTGCCAGTTGCCATGGTGCCAAAGTTTGCAGCACCTGAGCGCATCACATGGTGGTGCTCACGGCGTGTGATGCTTGCAAGCTCGGGAAGAGTGACACTACCCAGTGCCGACCAAAGATTTTTAGTGGAGGTTTTGGAGGCTCATCTCAGCCATATCGTCAGAAATTGGGGGTAGTGAAATGATTAGATACGTTTCGGTGCAGATGGCGCGATCACCTCATGATGGAGACGAAGACAAGGGAGTAGAATCAGTATTAATCCCGAGAAAATATTAATATATAAAAAATATATAAATACAAATAGAAACAAACAAATAAATAAATAATTTCCAACTCGGGTTACATGCCGGGGAGAGAGAGTGTGATGTTAAAGATCCCACTTCTTACACGAGCAAGTCCTCATCTCATGTTTACTCTTGTGTACTTGCACAACCATTAAAATCCTCATTCGCAACATGTATTAACATACGGGGTGGAAGCATTGCAAGATTTCACCCACAAATCTTAACAGGCATATCATGGTGTAGAGAGAGAGAGAGAGAGAGAGAGAGAGAGAGAATGGTGTGATTTCTGACGGCTGCAACACAATTCTGTGCAGGTAATAACATGGTATAATTGTTTACTTGGTTTTTGAAAAAGGGAAATTGATTCGAAACCAAGTGCATGAGCTGGAATTTCAACGCGGGACGCGAGGGAGATGAAAATGGCAGCGTGAGCTTGACAGAGAAGGGCCGGTGGCCACCGCCGAGCTCACACGCGTGACCACTGACGGCTGCAGCCTGAGCTGCAGTAGCAGCAGCAACAACGGTACAGCGTCGCGGGAGAAGAGCTCTAGAGCACTAGAGCACACTACTCAGCTCACGCGCAAGCAGCGGCAGTAGTAGCAGCTGAAGCAGCAGGCATGAGCGTTGTCATTAGCATCAGCATCATCATCATCACGAGCTGCACCCTGTGGGATGGTGCCGCAGCTGCTGCTCTCATCTAGCGCAGCATCAGAGGAGCTGAGAAAGTAACACAGGGAAAGAGAAAGAGTAGGAGGCGGTGGAGCAAATTGGGGTTGTGGAGGGGACATGGCAGTTGTGTCCCGCCCGCCTGCAGGGCAGCAGTCGCAGCACCGAAAGGCGTTTCAACTGCAACAAGGACGCGGGAGGTCCACTAGTGGAGTGTTGTATGGGAGCAGCGACAATGTGGACACAGGAGGAGGTGGAGGAGGAGGGAGTGTCGATAGTTTCCATCACAAGGAGTGGAACTCGCAAGCGCACGGGAGCGGGCGGAGTGGCGGCGGCGGTGGTGGTATGTCAAGGTCGGGGAGGAATATAGAGCAGACCAATGTGGTGTACCAGGGAGATGATTTTGGAGGCGGATTTGGGAGCTGGTGCGGGTGCATAAGTCGGTCTGGAGTTGTGTCACCGCCACCGAGGGGAGAGGGGGAGAGAGCAGGCAGAGGGCGCAAGGGTGAGAAGGGAATCGGCGACGTGAAGAGCGGGGACATGGGATCGCTAGTGAAGAGTTTTAGTGGTAGCTTCGAGCGCACTGGGTCGACGCCCGGGAGCTCGCCCGCCTTTCGGCCACGGCTCTCGCCTGGGAAGGTGTCACCATTAGTTGAGGTGGTGCCCCCGCCTGCTTCGATCACTGCCGCGCCGGTGAGTCAGCATCTGCAGGCAATGGCGTCAACAGTTTTCTCTATGTCGAATTATAACTTGACGCCAGGAGTAAAGATGCATGACTCCTCCTCGGGGGTGTCGAGCTCGCCTCCCGTGGATAAGATCAAAGCATCTCCAACCCTTTTTGAAATGATGACCCACGAACAGGAATTAGGCCCCAAGGCAGTTCACAGCATTTCTCTCAGCCAGCAGCTTACATTTCAAGAGAAGATGAAGTCCATTCTCTCAGGTATAGTAGAAATCTGAAACACCTCTCGCAGCCATTTTAGGCTCTTTTGCCATGGCCAACCAAGATCATGCGGCTTCTCACCCATGCTAATACCAACTCGGAAAAATTAGCGCTGACACTCAGTTACAGAGCAGCATCTAATACCGCACTACGACATAGCCAACTGAATACAGGCTTTGAGTGCCCTGTTACAGTCCGCACAGTAATCTAGATCAATTGATAGGATTCACCGGGAGTTGCAGTCACGGAGGTGCTCGAGAATGTCAGCAAATGATTTCCATGTTGACATTTGTAATGTGTGATTGTGTCCTGATGGCCAGGAACTAGCCCTGGTAACCAGTTTAATGACACTACGACCAGCGACTTGAAGCTGAGTCTTAATAACCGAGAAGGCTGCAGCGTCACTGTAAATGTTCATCGACACATCTTGGTTACGCACAGCAGGTTCTTCGCGGCCAAGCTTTCAGATAGATGGTTGAAGCAGCAACGAGCAAATCCGAATCTTATCGAGATTACCGACATTGACGACGTTGAAATATATCTCGAAACACTTCGGCTCATGTATTGCGAAGATGTCAAGAAGAGTCTTCTGAAGGAAAACGTGAATCGAGTTCTAGGCATTCTCAAGGTACGTCCCGCTCTACTTCACTCCACATGTTCACTGCTTCATAATGCGCGAGTAACCCGTTTTTCGTCAAAACCTCCGGAACTGTAGTTTTTTACTAAAACCTTTCTTAACATGTCCATATAAATATAAATATATATCTTTACAGCTTTCGGCGCACATTATGTTCGAGGGAGGTGTTTTTGCCTGCCTAGAGTACCTAGAGGCAGTCCCTTGGGCTGACGATGAAGAAGAGAAGGTGACTGCGCTCATGGGGCAGCTGCAGCTGGAGAGTGTGGGCGTTGCATCGGACGTTATGAAGCGGTGCTCTTCTCTCGAGAGCACCAACAATGAAGATATTTTGCCTCGGCTCTTATGTGCCGTCACTAAAGGTCAGACTGGCACATAGCAATGGGCTCAATTCTTTTCTAGCAGCAGCGAGCGGATATATCTATATATATATGTATGTATGTATGTATGTATATATATATATATGTATATATGTATCCACATATACGGGTGTGTGTGTGTGTGTGTATTGTAGTGCCAGCATTACTGATGCCGAGATTAATTGGTCGTGTTGTGATCCTAGGAACTGATGACAAGGCCCGGAGAGAAATGAAATCCCTGGTTTCAAGAATGCTTCGAGAGAATATGTCGCAGAACAAGAACACTGTCGATATCAGCAAAGAGAGTTTGTACAGAGCTTGCCACGGGTGTCTCGACTCTCTACTCCATCTGTTCACGCAAGTATGTGCTCAGATCCGTTCACGTCGCCTACATGAGCGGTCCATTCCGTATTGCTAAACCTCAGTTGCCAGGAATTAGTCTATTGATCTGCTTCTAGCTCCAAACACTATCGCCCAATTAATTTGCGTTGCTCAAATGTGTGGCAGTCCAAAAGTGGCGAAGACAGGAATATGCTGGTCGAGATTTCCCGACAAGCAGATAACTTGCACTGGCTGGTGGACATTCTTGTCGACCGGCGGATTGCGGATGATTTTGTACGCATGTGGGCTCATCAAGGCGAGCTTGCCACCTTGCACGCGCAGGTTCCAGTAATGTTTCGATATGAAGTCAGTCGTCTTACAGCTCGTTTGTGCATTGCAATTGGCAAGGGCCAGGCAAGACACATTCAACTCTAACTAAAATTTCCCTGCACTGTACATTGGATTTTGCATATATATATATATATATATATATATATATTGAGAGAGATAGATAGAGCGATGGAGAGAGTTGGTGGTTGAATTCAAATGAACCCCAGGTTAGCCACATAAGTTCTCACCAGACTTTGGGTTCGTCTCGACAAACAGGTTCTGTCTCCGAAGGATGTGAGATTTCTACTCCTGCAAACATGGCTACAGCCGCTGGTGGACGACTTTGCGTGGATGCAAAGGTGTTGCCGCAACTTGGACAAGAAGGTGGTCGAGGAAGGGATCAGCCAAACTATTCTCACTCTCCCACTGAAGCAACAACAGTGCATCTTGCTGTCGTGGTTCGACCGATTCTCTAGTTCTGGCGATGACTGCCCCAACCTGCAGAAAGCATTTGAGGTTTGGTGGCGAAGAACGTTCACCCCCCCCTGCGTCGAAGAAGACGCATGTGCTGAGCGCAGAGAGTTTTGTGAAAGGTGAACAATCGAATTAATGCTTGCCAAGCTTTGAAGTGAGCGTTGGTACATGTGTGTCATGGTCCTGTTGAATGATTTACCTAACACTGAAGTGGAATAGCAATTCTGAGCAGCAGATTCAATTATTGGCTCTTGTAACGTGGCTGTGGATTTCTCAGAGCTGATGGTCTCTGCAGAAGTAGAGAAGAGGGGCATCTTGGATTCTTGAAGTCTTGAAAGGGGATGATGGATTCTTCCTGGCTTCTAATGGTGGCAAGAGTAGGGGAGTGGGGTTGTGGTCCGTTGGCAGGCTTGGGATTGAGTTCTCCGGAACCTCAATTACGAGAGCTAAATGTCGTAACTTTAGACGGGGTCGGCTGATAGTTCTGTTCTCGGGCGTCTTTTGAAGCTGGATCCACGTGATTCTGCTCGAGGAACTCTTACGACAGCAGAGCCATCTTCGCGCTCAGCTGTTTCAATTCGCTGTTGACTTCATGAAGCTGAAGTTAGCTCAGTAGAGAAACCTGGCAGAAAGATCCCAGTTAAGAGTTTACAGGTAGCAGGTAGGAGGTAGCAAACGCTGAGAACTTGAACTATGGGGAGTAAACATGATCAGCCCTTGTATTTCTAGTGAGACTATTGCCGGTGAACGCGCGAGGCTTGTCGGTGGGTTCTCATGGTAAGAAAAATCTGCAATGTACAAATATGGGACATTCGAAACATAACCAGGGCTCACAAACTAGTTTCCTTGTAACGCATTTATATATTTGCCGCACTTGGGCTCGTTTCCATTCTCAACCATCCCATTATCAGCGTGCAAACCCTAAACCATGGTGCGATGCTTTTTGGATTGTAGTACAGATCAACCTCATTTTGTAGCTCCATGCATACTATGCATCCTTTGCAGTGCGGACGCATTGAATTCCCTCACACGACAGTTACGTAGGACCTATCCTCATCCTTAACTTAACCGCACCTCTGTCAACAGATATTAGGGCAGTCATTCATTGCGGATTCTTCTCAACACCTGAAGCGTCTGGGAATTCACCGTTGATAAATTCATTTTCGCCAGTATCTTTCAAAACATAGCATTACTAAAACTCATTACTCTTTTTTTCATTTTGATCAGCAACAACAACACATAAAGATCAAAGGAACAAGGGAACATAAGTCACAATTATCATTCCACGATAATTATTGTCCGAGGGAACCCGAGCTGATACCACCAGTTAGTGCGCACAGATTCCTGGAGCAGGTTGAGTAAAGCTGTTGAAGTGCTAAACCCATATCGAGTGAAGGACTGCGTGGAACTCTGAGCTACATTAACAATGTATCAATCCTGACCCAACCTGCGCAGGCAGTTCTAATTGGGTTGTGTAGCATCAGTCAGCAGCCCATCATGCAATGTTGTGGTGTTGATAAGTACATACCTTTTCTCATCATTTTATTAGAGCAAAACACATAGTAACACTAGATCTCATCCTTCCTTTCATCTATCATGGTGACCACCTCAACTCTTAGTGACCAATGGATTGAGGAGCTCAAGTAGAAGAACTACATTATGTGGAGTTTTGTAATGTAGTATTTCCTAGGCTTGAGAAACTTATACCATTACATGGATGGATCTAACTTGTATTCCAAAAGTGCCAAACTTGATGAATAGTGTCATATTTCATGAAATTTGCTTGAGAATGTATTAGGCTCTTGGTTGTGGAAGATAAAATGGAACTTGCAACAAAAAGACCCTAACAACTCTAATAGAATCCTAAATTAATTCCAATTAAATTATAATAATGCTATTTATTCTTTAATTAAACTCCAAAAGAGTCTTAAAGAACTTACAAAAGAAACATAAAAAAGTCATAAATTAATCTTAAAGAAATTATATAATAAAAAATCCTAAAGAAATATCAAAGAAATATTTTTTAAATATTAAAAATAAAAAACCTAATTGAATCCAAACCAAATTCTAATGTAACCCTCAACAAATCCTAATAAAATCCTAGAACAAATCTTAATAAAATCCTAACCAAGCCCTAAATAAATCCTAAGTAAATCCAAAATCCTAAACAAACTCTTACTAAACCTTATAATAGATTGAAACCTCAACAACTAATGATTGAATTTTTGAAATCAACTCAAAATTTTCACACTTCTCAATAATGTAGTTGGAAACAAGTATAAGAAAAATGTGATCAATTGCACTTAACAATTAAGAGAAATGAAAGATAATCCATTTCAGAGTTGGACATCTTTCTTCTCCAACCTCGATGCCAAGCTTCTAATGATAAGTTCTCAATGCCAATATCTCTTTTTTAAACCATTAAATTGCTCTCAAAATTTATAGAAATATTGAAAATCAAGTCTACTATCCATACAAAAAAAAATAATAATAATAATAAAAAAAAAAAATCATTTCAATCCAACTAGCAAATTGCAAAAGATCTTAGAAACTCTTTGTTTTTGTACTTTATTCTTGCACTCTAGCCAAGACAAATACACACCAAGTTTCTTTCTAGAAGACACATTGTAGAACTTCCTTCACAAAGTCTGTGAGTCACTTAATTGACTTACAGGTTGTTTTAGGACAAAAGAGTGTAATAGGAATGTCAATTCTCAAGTGTTAGTTGTAGAGAAGTGTAGAAAATGCTAAACAAAAGCAAAATAGAGTTATTAGATTAATTGTAGCTAGTAGAGAAAAATCTAGTAGAAATTCCCAAATAGATAGCATCTTAGAAAGTATCAAATTGGCAATCTTTTTAGTATCTTAAGAGCATCTAGGAAGAATCTAGAATATTTAATATTCTTCCATTATATAGAATAAAATACCATGCAAATACGGAAGCAAATACCATGCAAGAATCACACTAGACATGGTATACAAAGTAGAATATGGTATATGGTATAGGGCATATCATGTACTAGATATTGTATGGAATACGGTATAGCATGTGATACAATACCAATGAATATGGTACTAAATACATAGCTGAATATTGTGCTGAATATGGGCAGAGTACAAAAGTTATACAATGGAATACACAATGTAAATATGGTCTGGATATGGTATACAGAAGATAGAATACAGAGTCCAGCATATAATATAGTATATGATATAGTATACAATTTAGTATACAATATATGATACAATAGAAGTAGATTGTAGTATAGATGGTATAGTAGACTATAGAATATAACATACTATCAAGTATAAATACAACAGGAATACGAACTAAAGACCATATGATATACAACAGAATTATTGTACCATATATGAGGTGCAGCTTAAGCGGGTATCAACCGCGACGGCCTTCGTCATTCGGGTATCGGGCGCAATATCCGGCGAAGGAACGGAACTCATTCCCAGTGAGACTCTGGGCCACCTTGGACCCCTCTCCCTCGTTTCGTTTTTTCTGTTTTGGTTTTATGTCAGGAAGCTCGAAGCTCTCAAGGTAGTGGCGGCTGGTTAGAGCCCAACGGCTTCATATAGTTTATCTTCTTCCCTATGTGACTACCACCTCTTGTCACTGGAGCTTGGCAGTTGTACAATGTCTGCGATCGAGCCAACTTTTTGTTTCTCCTTCCTCGTTTTGCTCTTGCCAACTAGGAAATCTCGCGTTTTGCAGTGCAAATCGATGTGCAGCGCTGTTCTTGTTTCTCCGTTCCTGCAGCTAGAGCAGGGGGGTTATTGCTTCCCTCCGCTATGGTGACAGTGACAATGGCTCACGCGACAGCAAGGTGCAAAGAATTGTTGGTTTTCTGTGAGGTTGTGCAACGTTGAACGTAGATCTGCGATGGAGCGTTGAGAACCTGCGATTCCTTGGCTACTGATTGTATTCCTATGCCCCAAGCTGCTGAACTTTCTTGCCTCTTCCTATTTGTTGTGCGATGGATTCCAACGCTGCGTGGTCGAGGAACCAACTATTGCTTCTGTTCCATTGGCAAAGGGCCGCCAAGTCTCCCTTGCAGTGCATTATTATTGAGAAAAGAAAAATCTACACAAGGAAGTTTGCAGCCCATACAAGGCAGCAGATTAAATTGTGAGCACGGGTCGTAACAAAAGGCACCACCATCCTCAAGTCCAAGTCCAGCCACAAAGTGTCTACTCGAGGGCTGGAGTGGTTTTCCAAAAAGCTGGAGCTCATTCCTTTACTGATGAATCTGGTGTTGCAGGGCGTTGCAGAGTGTTTTTGAATGGTCGACCGATCCTGTCATCTCCAATCGTGGGTGATCTTACGAGTGTTCAAGCGTTGATTTTGGTTCTCTTTGAGATTTCCGTCACAAGGTTGGATGAACTGCCAGTTCTCATGACAGTGTGGCAGAGACGATCCAGAATTGATGCATGTATCAGCTGCCGAGGTTAATAACTCCGTGAAGACAATTCGAGCACCATACCAAGTAGCAATTGCAAGAGTACCATCTCTTGACGTTCTTGTGTCCATTTTGTACTTAGGATAGTATTGGATTAGTTGGTGACTACGAGATGTGTGCCCATCAATAGAGTAATTCTGATTATCAGCAGGAGGGTATTCCAATCGAGGTGAACATCGGAGAGGGAAGGGCCGCGTGTAGACATAGTGGAATTCGACCTGTTGCAACTCATCTTTGACGTCCTCAATGCTTTAGCAAGTAGGACTTTAAACTACTGGGCTTGGACGAGCTGCATCACCGTGCGGAGATTTTGAGGAGCGATCTAGAAAGAAGGTCGATCGGTAGGCTGTGGACATCGGATTCCATCACCTTGTTCCTTGTTGGCTGCGATGCTGTGAATCGGGAATTATTATCCACCCACCTCCGACGTTCAACACATTTCGTGAGAAATTCCGATGACCATTGTGTAACTACTATTAAGTGAATGGATTGCATTGGATCAACAATTGAATTCATGGATGAAGATAAGTTAAGTTGGATGAAATTTTGATGTGGATGAATTTTCATACTTGGATGAATACTCATTTTGTGGATGATAAATCATTTTAAAATCATTTTAAATTCATTCAAGTTAAAAGTTCATGAGGAATTATATTGGATGAACTTTTAACTTGGATGATTTTCTTGATAAACAATAAAAATATAAAATATAAAATAAAATAAAAATCATATAAAACTTCTCTTTTAAGTGTGTGGTCTTTTGAGTTGTTAAGTGGCTTGTATTATGGATTGTGATTGTTTGAGTAAGAATTTAATTTGTTAGAGAGATTAATTTCTCTTCATAAGAAGTAGGAAATTTTTTTATTTAATCGCTCACGTGATAATTAGTAGTTGTGACTTAGAATAAATCACTTACTAGAGTGGTTTATTTTGACTTACAATTGGAATGTTATAAGACTTCTTTGAAATTAAATCTAACGCTAATCAACAATTGTTAAGATATTTAAATAATTAAATTGTTGTGAAATAGAATGGACTTCCAATTAGTGGGGGTTTATTTTACTTCACAAAGTCACAGAACTAACTACAGACAAATATTTTGACTGCTGGCCAACCCTGACTAGAGGCGAATCTTGCGCATGATCATCCTTCTCCAAAAGTCGCCTCATAATTCTAGAACAATAATCCAAGAGTGAATCACCAACAACGTAGTGTGACGATGAAGAACCACAAGCCAAGCAAAATGTCTTTCACAAGATCAAAACATTCAGTTCAAGACACTATCAATAGGGAAGAATAAAAAACAGGAAGTACTCGCTTACCCTCGACGTCTTTTCAGCATCTCGACGACCCAAGAATCTCGGCCGACAACTTAACATGTCCTCAGATTTCATCCTGAACAAAAAACAGGTGAAGAGAAACACTCCCAA